CATATCTTATTTAAATGTTGGACTAATTTTAATACTAATAATTATACTATCTACTGTGAAATTGACGAAAAATGAGACTGAAATGAATTACACTTATTTAAAACCTTTACATTATAATGTAAAAATAAAATTTGACGTATTCAGAAATGTTTTTTCTGCGAAATGCAATATTATCATCCAGATCAATCGTCCAACGAAAAATATAACTATGTTGACTTCAAAGATTTTTGGTATAGCAAAAATTGACTTGATTAACAACAATGATAATCAAACAATCAACATCTGGAAATTTTCATTTATCGATCAAATGTACATTTATCTTGATTTTACCCAGTCATCTGTAAATTTATTATCTCCTGGTACGTATATCTTAAAAATGATATATGTCAGTAGCATATCAGATGACGGAGACATTCTCGATCTTTTGCAGATCAAAGAAAAAGACAAAATGTAAGTTAATATAATCAAATTTTTAATCAAATTGTGATAATAATTTTATTTTAATCATACATTAAAAATAAAATAGATTAAATAAAGTAATAAGCGCAAAAGAACTATTTCCATACTGGGAGCCGGTGTTTAAATCAACCTTTAACATTTCTATTTGGCATCATAAAAATTACAAATTTTTTTCGACTGTGCCGATACAAAAACAAGTTGTGGATATGAATAACATGCTGTGGACTTATTTTGACATATCACCGTTAATGTCCGCTGAACATTTATCAATTGTGATAACCACATTCACTAATTTCTTCGCTCCTATTAAAAATGTCAAAATTTGGTATAGAAAAGGGATGCCTGTTGACCTGTTGCAATTTGCAGCAAACATTGTCCATGGAGTTATACAGTATTTATCAAAACAGAATATACAACAAATATTAAAAATAGATTACGTTGTAACGAAGGACTTTGAATACAGTAACGTAAAAACATCGGGATTCATTCTATTAAGGTAATACTTATTAATAACGAAAATTAAAATTAAATAAATATATTTATCTATAATATTCTAAACTTAAAAAAATATTTTAATGTTATTATAATTATTGAAAAATAACTATACATATCACTTGCATCACACTTTCTGATAAAATTTTTATCTTTATATTCTTATTTTTATTTTAAACAAAAAATTTAAATAATTATTTTTACGTTAAATCAGATTTTAATTCAGATTTCATTATTCAAAGCATAAAAGATAATTGCAATTTATGTTTTACGTACAAGTAAGAAATATGCTACAAAAGTTTTTTTTTCCACCAATAATAATGAGACAAAATCAACAAAATTCTTATCATTTTAAATGTTATACACATTTCACACGTAATGCTGATGCAAAAATGCTCAAAATATTTTTTTTTTATTTAAATAAATTCTATGTAAATATGTAAAATTACAAGCAAAATGATTATTGCCATGTTTTTTATTGAAAATATAATGTATATTGCTTACTAAAAATATTGTATA